TTTTAAATTTTTTATTTTTTTGAGACAGAGTCTTACTATGTCACCCAGGCTGGAGTGCAGTGGCATGATCTCAGCTCACTGCAACCTCCACCTTCCAGGTTCAAGTGATTCTCCTGCCTCAGCCTCCAAAGTAGCTGGAATTACAGGCGTGCACCGCCATGCCTAGCTCATTTTTGTATTTTTAGTAGAGATGGGGTTTCACCATGTTGGCCAGGCTGATCTCTGACTCCTGACCTCAAGTGATCTGCCCGCCTCAGCCTCTCAAAGTGCTGGGATTATAGGCATAAGCCACTGCATCCAGCCTCTCCCTTCTGATTTTCTAATTCCCATTGATAGTGTCACTGACCTTCTAGTTTTTTATCAGAAATCTGAATTATTTGCAAAAACTTCCCATAGCTTTCCTGGTGCTAGTCCCTGCCCAGTTCACCTGCACAGCGATGCCAAGTTTACCTTTCTGGAGTAACATTTTATTACTACTAATACCAATACTCTTCCTACAACGAGCACCTACATTTGTTATGTCCTAAACATTACATAAAGTGCCTTCACATACATTTTCTCTTTTTATCTTCCTATCACTTCTCTCGAGTATATATGATTATTCCCATTTTATATGTAGTAAGACTTAGAAAAGCCAAGTAACTTTCCCCAAACCACACAGATGGTGAGTATTGAAGCCAGAATTTAATCTAGCTTTGACTCTTCAATCTTCTTTGATTTCTTTCCATTATGTCTCTCACCAGTTTCAAATTTTAAATGGTTTGCTGCTACCCCCAGAATAATGATAAAACTCCTCAAGGTGCTATCTTTTGGCCTCACCTAAGTCAATCTTACTTCAAAGTACTTTCTGGTTGAGATTACACCTTTCAGTCAGATCATTTTTACTGATTTCTCTCGGGCCTAAGAATAAGTTGTATATAATTGAGAATGCTCTCCTTTCTGCTTGTTTTTTTCCCTTTCGTTTCCCTCCCTTTTTTTCTGTTTGGTTTTATTTTGCTCTCTGTAAGTCCTATTCTTTAAAATCCAGTTCATATCATATGCCTCTATAAATCTTTTTTCTACAACTCCTACTGTCATTGGACCATCTGCTTTATAAACTCCTTTACTTCTTTTCTGTACCAACTCCCATTTTCTTATTCAACCAGTTCATAAGCATACCTCTTTAACTAGATGGTAGACTCCTTGAAAACGAGGTATTTTATACTCTCTTGTATGAATCAAAGGACTAGGAGAATAATAAGGATAACATGATTATTGATCAAGAAAAGCTCATAGTCAGGCGGGACATGGTGGCTCATGCTTGTAACTGGGAGGCTGAGGTGGGCAGATCACCTGAAGCCAGGAGTTCGAGATCAGCCTGGCCAACATGGCAAAAACCTGTCTGGGCCAGGCGCGGTGGCTCAAGCCTGTAATCCCAGCACTTTGGGAGGCCGAGGCGGGTGGATCACGAGGTCAAGAGATCAAGACCATCCTGGTCAACATGGTGAAACCCCGTCTCTACTAAAA